GTCAAGTTGAGTCTCGCCACATTGAAGTACTGAAAAGCAAAATGACATCTGTACCTAAAAATTCTACCCTTCTCAGCCATGACTACCAGAACAGTATGCTCTCAGTCCTTGCTAGGAGTGAATTCGATTAGATCATGAAGTAAAGAAAGCACATTATTTTACTATAATGGTAGACGAGACAAATGAAATTAGTAAAAGGAGCAAGTATGTCTCATTCATCGTTATGTCCTAAAGTGAATCATTCATGAGGTTTATCTTTTACTTTTAGTGTAACGAACTAAAAAATGCTGCTGCTCTCACTTTATACATTTATGATGTACTCAACAAATTAGGTTAAACATTGCAGATTGTGCCAGCCAATGTTATGACGGAGCATCTGTCATGAGTGGCTCATTAACTGGTGTTGGTACTTTAATACTTGAAGACAATCCTAACACAGTATACTTTCACTGTTATGCACCATAAAAATTGTGATTTTAACAACTTTTTGATGTAATTTTTGGCAGCCAGATTAACATCATGTAATTTCGTTGTATTATAATTTTTGCATATTATTTTAACAAGTTTTGTAACGTCATTTTACTATGTTTCTAGTGTCAATTCCACAAAACATGTTGTGTAATTGCATAATGATTATGCTACATCAGCAATAAAAATGTCGAGTTACAACATAATTGTAATGTCAAAATAACTCTGAGCAAGCACAAATGAGGTTATCATATCATCTGATACATGGAAGAGAGACTCTAGCAAGAAGCAAAAGCCACCTGACATTCTTCTTATGCTGTACACAAGCAGGAATAGGACCGAAAGGACTTCGTGTTAAGTTGCCTGTGACATCAGTAAAGGCCAGCAAGATTGCAAAGAAAACTGGTATGACAGAGAAAGGATCTCTATAACACGGAAATGGCAGGCACTAATTCGTCAGGATTTGATCGACATTGAAACTGATTTGAAAGCGTTGTTGTCACGTTCAGAGTGGATAAAGTTCAAAGCCTGGTATTAAAAGTAAAAAAGTTGTTCTGGGTCACAATGGAGAGACAGAACACATTGTTTAGTAAGCTACTAGAGGAACATGAGCGTGAGTGAAACAAGTGTTTGTTTCGGTTAGATCCATGCAAGATAGTGGTGACTTTAAGCAACAAAGCTCTTATGCAAAATGAAACGGATGTTCTTTCACTTGGACTAAACTTTGCTATTGCTCCCAGGAAGACTCCTGCTATTGAGATCATTGCTGCAACAGAGTCTGTAGCTAAGCAGTTGGGTTCCTATGAAGCAGGTGACCTAAAAGTTGGGGTTAGTAAAGCACTATCTATGGCTAAACCACCCAGACCAAATTTATCACGCCAGTTAAAGACGGCTTTGACTGATTAAAGACGGGATGATACAGTTATTTTACCTGCAGACAAGGGCAATCCTACAGTGGTTTTCAATAGGTGTATGTATGATCAAAAATGGAAAGAATTATTACTGATCATGCAACGTACTGTAGGTTGGGTTGTGGAGACACTACCACTTGCATAGAGAAGGTAACAGAGCTGATTTAGAAGTTGCACCAGAAGAGCAGAATCAAGGATGATCTGAAGAATCGTATTGTTCCAACTTACTCAAACTCATCCCACCTATAAGGTCTCCCAAAGATACACAAGGACAATATATACCTTTTGTACCCATTGTTGCAGCCATTGGCTTGCCCACATACTGGCTAGCGAAAAAAGCTTGTGTTTTGTCTACACCAACGGGTAGTAAAGTTTAGTGAAAAATTTGTCTACATTTGTATCAGAATTGAGGGGCATGAGACTGGAAAAAGGATATGATGTAAAGCATTGATGTGATCAGTTTATTCACTAAAATGCCAATTTCAGAGGCCTTGGAGGTTATTAGAAAGAAACGAGAAGAGGATGAATGTTTGGAATCAAGAACGTCATTGGAGATAGATGATATCTGTGAATTGACAGAATTATGTTTGAGGTCTACATACTGTCAATACAAGGACATCCTCTGCAAACAGATTGAGGGTGCTGCAATGGGTTATACCCTGTCCCACATTATAGCCAATTTATATATGTAACATGTTGAAGAACTGGCTTTGAAATCAGCTCCTCTAAGAACAAAAGTGTGGAAAAGTTAAGTGAATGATACATTTGTAATCTGGCAACATGGGATTACACAGGTTGATTCTTTCCTATCACATTTAAGTAGCATATGGTCGTGTATTCAGTTCACTATGGAAATGGAGAGGGAAGACCAGATTGCTGTTCTGGATGTTCTTGTGAAGAAAGATGGCTCTATGATCTCCACCTATGTTAATAGGAAGACACAAACAGACAGATACGTCAACTATAAAGGCAAATTTACAAAATGACATTAGACGAGCGGAGCATCATCCAGAATGTAGCAAACGTTTTGTCATATTGTAAATGAATAGTGTAGGTGCAGGCGTTGTATCATTTCGTAGTTGTTAAATAGGAAAAATTCTATTCCAATGTAACATTTTCTGCGTACAGCCAATCAGACTTCTTGGGCCACATTGCCTACACTTGTTAAAATGGCCGATAAAAAACTGATAGATCTGAGAGAATTTCCTTGTCTTTGGCAGTTATTCACTCAGGCATACAAAGATATTGGGCAAACGAGAATGCCTGGAAGATAGTTGCTAATAGGGTAAGTAAAGCCTATTTTGTAATAAGTGTCTGTGTCAAGAAAATAATAAGCCAAGGATCAATGATATTAGAAATTAAAATTGTATCCTTTATCATTGTAGGTCGGTGAAGGATATACCGTATAGCACAAAAATTGGGAGGGACAAAAATTTGGCGAATTTGGCAAATAGAGTTTCATTCGCCAAAATAAAAACCGCCATTTTGAGCCTTTATACGCATGCTCAATGGCACGTGGCCACTAATTCGCCAAATTAAAATCCGCCAATAACCAAAATTTAGCAATTCGCCAAATTTTACTCCCTCCAAAATTTCGGGGTAATGTAAATGATTGTAGTAACAATTGGAACATTTTAAGAAATAAGTTTGTGAGAGAGATCAAGAAAGTGAAGAAAAGAACAGGAGAAGGCCCCATATATGTGTCATGTTGGCAATTATTTAATCAAATGACTTTCATATCTGATACGATAAAGCATAGAAAGTAAGAGAAAGGTGTTCTTTATTTAGTTAATGTTTTGGTCTATAAAACATCCAGTAACTTTGTTAATGATACTGATGTGGAAACCAATGAATATAATGCTTGTAGTCCCAGTGATGTGCATATTAGTTGATCAAGGTATGTGTCCATCTTGTATAATATTTTATCATTGAAAAACTTTTTTAATAATTTAACAACATCTGAGCCTGTGTGAAATGATAGCCTTGAGATGACAGCTCAAAATCTGTTGATACATGTATGTCTCCTCCACCCCACAGTAGTTCTGCTACATCCAAAGAAAATTATCAAGCTTAGTACTAAAAAGGAAAAGACACACGCTGATGAAATGAGGGAT